TCGTGCCGAAGCATGGCTCTCCCACACCTAACTTGTCTCTTTCACACACACACACACCTATCCTGAAAGTTTCCATAGGTGATATGATAATTCAGTACTTTCTATTGTGCAAATAAACAAACATTTAGATCTTTTCTTTTTGTAATATTTATCTGTGTACAATCTCATGTAAAATTTTATACATTGTATAACTTCATGTTCTAACGTTTATGCTTTTTCTGTAGTGATTTCGCTAGCGTGGGTATTAGACCTTTTCTATTTAAATCTTATCCATTCTTCTTTCTCAAATACCAGTGAAACGATACAGACACTTTTGTTTTAGAGAAGTCTGAACTGATAATCTTCGATTCGATTGCGAGGTATACTGTCTATGAAATATCTGAAGGTCAACTTTGAAGGGTTGTTTATCTGATACTAATTTTATGATCATTATTATTTTTTATTATTTTAAGATACTAACTGTATCTTGTCAATGAGAACTTACATGCAGTTCAGGACATTTTAGACTTGCATCTAATCAGTCGCAAGCAAAGACTTTTATGTAACGCACAACTAGTTAGTGGTCAACAAAAAACTTCATCTATACCCTGAAATAAATACCATCTATTTAAAAACACGGAAGAGCAGATCCCATTAACGCTTGCATTCATAGAAACCGCTTCACAAACATCAATGGTTGAGTTCCACGCGTCTCCGATATTTCTACGATATAGGTTAACGACTTGAGGTCGGATAAGAGATCGTAAATTTCGACGGATACAAATCCATACATGAGTCGTTTACCAGATTACTGTTTGCTTCCTGTTTAGGAAATTAAATGGTGTCTCAATAACATATTTCTAAGAAAGACTTGTCTCATCTCTAATCTTCTTTTATATAAAAATGGATCGCAAAATGTGTTGGTAAGCGCATAACTCAACAACGCCTGGATCAATTTTGCTAATTCTTCTTTTGTTGTGTTTGTTATTGTCAGGAGAAGGTTCTTATCGAAAAAAATATTAGAAAAGTAGAGGGGAAGCTTAGGAAAAAGTGACCCTATGATAGCGAGATAGTTAGACCTGTGCGAAGCGGGGGTGGGCCGCTAGTCTTTTATATAAAAATGAATCGTAAAATGTGTTGGTAAGCGCATAACACAGAAACGTCTGGACCAATTGTGCCATTTCGTTTTTTGTTGAGTTTATATTGTCAGGAGAAGGTTCTTATGAAAAGTACAGCGGGGAGTATGGGAAATTGCAACCGGTTGGAGATCCGTGTGAAGCAGGGGCTAGCGGCTAGTTGATTATAAAGCAGAGATTGAAATATCATAATAAAAGTTAGACCTTTGTGTTTAGGGGATACCAACATTAAATGCCTTTTTTCGCCTCGGTTTGGGCGACAGGGAGTGTCAGACCCTTACTGACTATAAAACCACCCCGTTCCTTCTCCTTTCAGACCAGAGATCCATATTGTAGAAAACATCACTTAATATCTTAATACTTATTTATCAATTATTGACATGGACATCAGGACGCACATGTCTACTTGCCCAGTGTCTAATACACGGTCCATCAATTGTATCTGCCGTACAGCTAGTATACTTTTAGGACTGTCCCTCAATCGCCGCATTATGGATGCACATCATTGGCTTCAGCAGACATTTCAGATGGGCGAGGCAGTCCGAACAGAATCCTCATCGCATTATTATTAATTAGGCACTGCGACCTCGGCCCAGAGCAGGAGAAGGAACAGGGGGGTTTTTAGTCAGTAAGAGTCTGACACTCCGTCCCGCCCGGCTCTGGGTGGGAGAAGTAATTTGATGATGTTCCCCTCAGAAAAAAAGCGCATTATTATTGCAACAACTGCGATATGTTTGAACTGCCTTATGAATAAAAATTCATTGAAGAACACAAGGCCAATTATCACTATCTATCTCAGTAATTAGTACGTCGTACACAACATTGAAATAGTCTTTATTGAATAGTTTTGAAGGCCGCTTATGATTTGAGGTGGACCAAATAGTTCGGTTAATTAACGCATCAATAACCAATAATCTTATTAATACACGTTTTTATTCCATTAGATATAGGTACCTAATACTCGTAAAGGCCACGTGTTTTCATAGTTTCGTTCCAGGTCATAATTTTAGCCGGTCAATGACTTTTAACATATCTGTTTTTCTATTTCTCATAATACTGGAATAACTGATGAATCGACATTATTTTTCTGATGTGGACTAAGCGCATTTGAACACTATCTACACGTATTTAGGTATTTGTATTTTTATGTCTGATTTTGATAGCAGTAGGCTAGTGATCCGAATGGTTGGATTTACGCCAAATGTTTAGGTAATTAGGTGTACCATAAGTCTATAACAGTTTTTTTTTTATTACGTTCGATTTGTTTATTCATATGAGCGTTTTCTTAATAGACGGTTATAACGATAACGTTATAGTAGACTTATTAACAAGCTAATGTCTTTTTTGTGCCTTTAGGGCTTAAGTGCGGAACCAGAGTTGATGAAGGGTTGGCTTCGGAAAAATACTCGAACACGGTTTCATTAATTACTTTCATTGATGTTAACTATTCGAGTTAAGTATTGCTACACTACAGTGGGTGTGAAAGTCAAATTCTTCATAATGTATAGTTTTTGTCATAACACCGTAAGTTAAAGATACCATCGGGCGCACGAACACATTCTGTCTCGTACATTAAATTTACCAAGGGAAGTGGAAACTATTTAGTTTTTCCTTCTCCTCAAATAATGTCTTCTGATTTATTTTGTTGCGGGATCCAAGACAGACAGACATTCACGTCCCTGGGACGCGCTGGACTTTAGTGTTTCGGTATTTTCATGGTTGTATCTACTGAAGATCCTGGTTTATGGGAGTTGCAGCGGTTCGGAAAGGATGTGGCGGGCATGTCCCAAAAGAAGCTCTGTCTACACGTGAATCGTATCCAATGTTATTCTTCGTTGATTGTTAACATTAAGATGAGAAATGACAATAAAAATTGGAATATATGAGTCTAAAACTACGATAAACTGATAAACTGAACATAACATACAGACATTACAATATTTTTTACAGTAATAAATTGATTCTTAGAAAGTAAATAATACAGTACTGAACAAATTCAACGGTACAAGTGTTTACTTTGGTTAGACCGACACAAATCTTATCGTAGTGTTATGTTGACCACACAGAATTATTTACAACACACACACAGTTAATACACAGACACAGTGTACAACTCAAACAAACTTACAACGTTGATGTTCGTGTAAAGTCAATAGCAATACTTTTAAATCTGTCTCTAACGGCCTTATTACAAAACAAGGTTTTACTTTAGGACTAAACCATTAAGCCAGTTTTCGTATTTCGAATTGAAGGTAGATGACAATAAGATTCAAAATTCAAAACCCGACTCAATGGTTTAAACCTGGACTAAAGATAAACCTTGTTTTGTAATAAGGGAGTAAGTGTTTTTTTGAATTCATTTTCATCGGCTTCTTCCCATTCGCTGTTGTTCGAAGACCGTTCAATAGCATGTCATGTACTTTCAAATAAACATTTAGTAGATTACTTCGACTGGCAGTCGTTAGATTCAAAGAAGGTTTAAGGCCAGAATAATAATCCAAGAAACTTGGTCAATTCGGTACCATGTCATTTTATAGAGGTCTCGTCTTTGTCAAAAAAAAGTCAAAATGATTTATATCAATTAGACCACAATAGGCACTTTTAAACGTCAAGGTTTTGGGTTCTGATTTATCTTAGTTTAAGAGCAGAATGGCTATTCTTATCTTTAATGTCCACCATGACTTAAGTGTGGGAGAGCCATGTTTTGGCACAAATGGGTCGGCTCGACCGGAGCGATACCACGGCCTCACAGAAAACCGGTGTGAAGCAACCACAGCGTTGTGTTTCGACGTGTAAAAGTTACCGGAGGCCCAATCTCTCCCCAATCCCTAAATGTTCAAAGCCCTAATCCCTAAAAGGTCGGCAAGGCACTTGTAACTTGTCCGTTTTTTTTTTTTTTTTTTATGTGATAGGACGGCAAACGAGCAGACGGATTACCTGATGGTGAGCAATCGGCGTCGCCCATGGACACCCGCAACAAAGAAGGAGTTACTAGTGCGTTGCCGACCTTTTAGGGATTAGGGATTTGGAGATTTAGGGATTGAGGAGGGATTGGGGAAGGGGAAGGATTGGGCCTCCGGTAACCTCACTCACACGGCGAAACACAACGCAGTGGTTATTTTACGCCGGTTTTCTGTGAGGCCGTGGTTTCACTCCGGTCGAGCCGACCCATTCGTGCCGAAGCATGGCTCTCCCACACTTTTGCTTGCTGCCAGTGTATGTGTGATATCACTTAATCTGTCTGCTCGTTTGCCGTGTCCTATCACTTAAAAAGAAAATGACTGGTTATGAACTTTTAGTAAATAAAACATTTTAGATTGAGATAGGTTTTGGATTTAATAGTCAAAGTCAAAATATTTATTAGTACTTATAGGCTCTTTTGAACATCAAACAAAAAATAATTTTCAAAATGTTTAAATTTTTGTGTCTGTCTGTCCGTCTGTTCTCTTGTGAAGCTATGTGCTCGTTTCAAAGTGTAGATTCCAATGGAAAAGAACGAGGAAGAAACTCCATGGTTACCCTTTTTTAATCAATTTCACAATTCACTTATGTTACATCATTAAGTCGTTTCTATTATGTGAAAATAGTGTAACGATAATATTCAGTCAAAGCAAATATCCAGATAGTCTTAATTCTAGACTGTATGGATATCTCGTTCTTGTTCATCCAAATATTGAGATTGTTTATTTATTGGTTTAAGTCAAAAATCATTTCTTTCAACTTGACCCTTATATGCACTTTTGAACGTCAAACAAAATTTTTAAGTGTCAGTCTGTCGGTCAGTCCTCTTAGTGAAGCTATTTGCTCGTTCCAAAGTGTAGCTGTGAAACGTCACGTCCTATCGAGAGGAGTGCTTGTGTTAATGTGAGGTTGTGTTGTGTGCAGTCGTGCGGCATCTGCGCCATGTTCCCGTCGTGCATGTCGCTGCTGTCGCGGCGCGGGGAGCAGCGCGCGCCGCGCCCCGGACAGGCGGCCGTCGTCCTCAACGTCTACGACATGTACTGGACCAACTGGTAAGGAGTTTACCTTAATACCTTATTTGTCAATAAGTGTGGAAGAGCCATGCTTCTGCGTGATTGATGAGGTGGCTGAGCAACTGGAAACCACAACGTACTGCTCGTGCGATTCCTGCACGGAATAACTCAATGGGATACACAAGTTGTTGTTCCGGGTCTGGGTGTGATGTGTATGCGAAATTGTATGTTTGTAAACGCACACACGATACGGTAGAAAGACCTAGTGCGGGGCAACGTTTTATATTAAAAAAAACTTTGTTGCTCTCTCTCTCTCATTTTCTTCTTTAGTTCTTTCTGTTTCTTCTTTGAAATATCTCATTCTCTTTTTCCAATTTTAGAACTAAGTGCATTATACGAACAATATAGCTAGACCATATAATAGCTTGTGTTTTGCTTGCGTCGAAGAATTCATTCAAATTTATCCTCGAATTAAAATATGGCGCAAATTTCCGTATTAGTAGTTTTGGCGCTTGCAGTCATAGCGGCTGGGAATTCTTTAAAAATGTAATTTGCATATGTTTCATGTACATTTTCCGCATTTAGGTACACGGCGGGAGCGGGCGTAGGGGTGTTTCACAGTGGCGTGCAGGTTCACGGCTCGGAGTGGGCGTACGGCGGGCATCCGTACGCCTTCACCGGCGTCTTCGAGATCACGCCACGAGACGAGCGGGAACTAGGCGAACAATTTCGTTTCAGGTAAAACTTATTTAGTTGCTTAATTATTTACAACGTCTTGGTTGGGCGATCCCAAGCGTAGCGTTCCGCGCGCGCCTCAAATAGCTAATAGAACACCACAGACGGGGCCACTATAGAGCTGATCTTCAGCCGGGGTTGCGGGCAAGCGCAATGAGGCACTGCGACCTCGGCCCAGAGCAGGAAAAGGAACAGGGAGGTTGTCAGTAAAAGCCTGACACTCCCTCCCGCCCGGCCCTGGGCTGGAGAAGTCATTTGATGATTTTCCCCTCACAAAAAAATAAATAAATGGTGGCCCGATGGTTAAGTCGCCCATTTCTCATTCTTGAGGGTGCGGTACGCAACCTGACAAGTACCAATGTGACTTTTTCCGAGTTATATGCACCTATGATTATTTAGACACCACTGACATACAGTGAAGTAGCGGTGAGCAATCGTGGTGATTAATGCTTAAACCCTCTCCGTGTGAGAGGAGGCTTTTGCACAGCAGTGGGCACTTTTAGGCTGATGATGGTGATGATGAAGATGGAAACTCTTTTGCAAGTTAAAAGTATTTAGTACTTACTGTATGGTGACGATGAAGATTGGTCACCGTTCTAACGTGTTGACTGGGCAGCAGTCTCTAGTCTAGGTCTAAACCATTGAGCTATTTTGTATTTCAAAATGAAAATGGTATTTCAAATTCAAATTGGAGAAAGGTGAAAATAAGGTTCAAATTACAATACCTCTCAATGGTTTAACTCCACTTTTGTAATAAAGGGGTAAATGTTGACAGTCAGATTTTAATGAATATTGTGGATTTCAAATTTGGAAACTCTCATCATACTCGTATACATATTTTTTTACCGATAACTTATTTGTCCATTTGGTAAAGTATAACGTTTGTATTACAGACAAAGTGTGCACATAGGTTATACGGACTTCAGCGAAGACGAAGTGAGACGGCTGGTAGCAGAGCTAGGCAAGCAGTTCCGCGGTGACAGGTGTGTATAGATAACTAGTCATTGATATAATAATAATAAGTAATCTGAATTATAGGGGTCGGCAGATTAAAGCGAGTTGTATGTACTTTCTAATAGAATTCAGTCACCACAATTTCACCACGAAAATTTTGTGAAGATGCCTGGATTAATTATTTCTTATTATAAGTTTTAAATTGCCAATCCGTTTGATCAAACTTTCTTTGTGTTTCTTCACGTTAGTAAGTCGTCTTTTGATATTGAAAATATAAAATATGTTTATCTATATTTACGCCAACTTAAATACATACAGTCAGACAAGAATATAACAAACAACAGTTAGGCCCGGCGCCCACTATCGGTGGACATCGGTGCGGCTCGGTACAGCTCGAGGGCTTTACGCCGGCTTCGAGCTCCGTCGGGCGACTTAACAGTGCAAGTCAACAAAAGTAATTAAAAACAATGAGGGAAGTGAAGTTAACAGGAAAATGAACATTTTCCAAAGTTATTTATAGTCTTATACCTTAGTTATATACCATACATATGTATATACGTTTTGATGGTTGTAAAATCATTTTATATGTCCAACGATAATAAATAAATATTGCGCCTGGAAAAAATCAAAAACACAGCATAATACTAACTAAGATTTATTTATTTTTATTTATTTATTTATTTAAACTTCATGCACAATGGGTACATAGGCGGACTTAATGCCTAAGGCATTTTCTACCAGTCAAACCTTGGGTGATGCAGAGATGAGCCAATGGTCGGTGCAAGAAGCAAGCAAACGGCTTAACTTTAAATCTGATAAGACATACGAGATAGATATATGTGCGTATTATTAACGTACAAGTTACTATATCCCTAATATATACCTACATTCATACTCAAATTATATTATATAATAATAAATAACTGCAAATTTATACAACATAGGTGGCGCTGTAATCGTATTAGGTCAGCTTGGATGTAGGAATAGGTACTGAAAGACCCAATTGTGAATTTTCATACTTACCAAGTGGATAAAAAGAACTAAATCTTTAATATTTTGAATGGAATATGGCATTTTAATCTTATATATAAAAATGGATCGCAAAATGTGTTGGTAAGCGCATAACTCAACAACGCCTGGACCAATTTTGCTAATTCTTTTTTTGTTGTGTTTCTTATTGTCAGGAGAAGGTTCTTATCAAAGAAAATATGGGAAAAGTAGAGGGGAAGATTACGAAAATGACCCACTTTGATAGCGAGATAGTTGGGCCCGTGCGAAGCGGGGGCGGGCCGCGCCGCTAGTTTTTAATAAACATTTTATAGTTGCCAATAAAGACTATTTTCGCCTGACTTAAAATATTTAGCCAAAGCCAATTAACTGAATGTGCCCCTCTTTCTCTGATTACAGTACAGTCATTAGTTAAATTATAACAAAGCATTACTTCCCGCCAAGGACAGACAATAACCGTTATCAGGTTCTGAGGTTATCGCGATCAAACGGACAGACCGTTTTATTATGCTATATGTTATTTTACATATATTTATATTTTATGTATATTTCGGAGCCAAATAGTTGAATTAACCAACCAACAACGGCTCTAATCCAACATCTTTTTAACCGACTTCAAAAAAGGAGGAGGTTCTCAATTCGATTGTATTTTTTTTTTTTGTTACCTCAGAAGTCCGTTGTTTATGGACGGATTTGCAAAATTTTTTTTATGCTTGAAAGGATATGCTTCTAGATTGGTCCCATTCTTTTCAAAATCGAGTTTTGATGATGGGATCCATGAGAAATCGAGGGAACTCCTCAAATATTATAGGCAACTATATAGTAATTTTGGTTTGTAGCGACATCTATCGCACAGAACAACAGCACCAATCACGTGCAAGATCCTACATCGCGCCCGACAAAATCTCGACAACATCCGTCGGGCAGTAGCCCCGCCAGGCACGATCACCTCGCCTGGTCGAAGGATCCTCCTTTTCCGATATTAGGGAACTATACTCTCTGATTCCTTAAGATTTAATAGTAGGCTGTAAGTTGAAGGGTGTAGGGCTTGCGATGATAACGGAGTTGCTACTAGAATGGTAGGATAGGTTAAAAATGTGAGCCGCACAGAAATCGAAGCCATCGTAAATAAATCTAACTCACTTCTCTGTACAGCGATTTAAGGGTTAGCTGATTAATTGAACGCCTATTTTTTAATTAGTTGGCTGCATCATAATCTAATTCATATATAAAATTCTCGTGTCACAGTTTTCGTTGCCATACTCCTCCGAAATCCGATCCGATTTTGATGAAGTTTTTTGTGCTTATCTGGTATCTATGAGAATCGGCCATTATCTATTTTTCATCCCCCTATATGCTAGGTTAGGGATAGTCCACCCCAAAAATTTTTCTTTTATTTTTTATACAACATGTTTCATTTCTATACCTTTATTATACAACATACAAAAATAGGGGTTAATGTTTGTATGTAATATTGTTTTCCAGGTACCATTTAATGAACAACAACTGCAATCATTTCACCTCAGCGTTTTGTTTGGTGAGTCACTCTATTATTAGATATTATTTATTTTTTATGGAACGGACTGGCAAACGAGGTGGCATATAAGCTGATGGTAAGCGGTCGTCGCTACTCATGGTGTAACAGTAACACCAGATCAGTAACAAGTGGCGTTGCCGACCTTTTGGTAGTTAGGGATTTGAAGATTAAGCGAATTAAAGATAGGACAGGAATGGGATTGAGATTTGAGTAACTTCACACGGCGAATCACAAGGTAAAAGTAGTTACACGCTGTTTTTCTGTAAGGCTGTGGCATCACTCTTGTCGAGCCAGCTAGTTCGTGCGAAGTATGTTTCTCCCGAGCGTACGGCGCGTAGCGTTCCGCGCGCGCCTCAAAGAGTCAACAGACCACCACAGACGGGGCCCTAAAGGGCTGATGCGCAATGAGGCACCGCGACCTCGGCCCAGAGCATGAGAAGGAACAGCAGGGTTTTTAGTCAGTAAGAGTCTGACATTCCCTCCCGCCCGGCCCTGGGCGGGAGAAGTCATTTGATGATTTTCCCCACGTCATTTATTATTTACCTTCATTATAAATAAGGTTAATCGGTCATCTTTTCAAATTATATCTTCTGAATTATTTTTAGCGGGTTCTGTGGCATTTACGGCATATTTATCTTTGGATGCACCAAAATACCCAGTTTGGGGGGTTTTATGGTTGTATTGATCTTGCAAGGAACCTGGCTTACAGAAATTGCAGCGGATATGATACTTGTGGCGGACTGGTCCGAAAAAAACCTTAATCGGCCAAGGCATTATTAAATAAAATCCAACACTACTTTCAAAGTTTAAGTAGTAATATATGTATGTACAGTTAGTTTGTTTTGCAATTTCCTAATTTACATACTGGTACTTATTATAAGTCGTTGATTTATTGTTTAAATTACTTTCAAGGTTTTATTCAGACAGTTTTCTGTATTCAAACGACAAAATTGTCGTTATTTCTTGCTTGCTTCTTTCTTGACATAATATTTATAATTATTGATCGATTGACATTAAAAACTTCATAACTAAGTGACATCGATTATTTTATACCAAAAGTTGTGCTGTGTTTTACCGCGAAAAATGTGTGATATTATGTGTTAATAAGTCAAGCGTAATATATATTAATGTACCTTGGCTTGAAGAAAAAGAGCGAAAGGGGATATTTTTAACACAAAGTCGTCTTCTGTGCCCCTACATCCCTAAATATTTAAAACTATGCAACATATATTTGGTGCGGGTTAATAGATAACTTTAGAGGAAGATTTATAAGTACATATCTTAATATTCATAAAATTGGGAGAAATTTTGTATCAGCATTTCACCCGTGCGAAGCCCGGGTGGGTCGCTAGTCCAAACTATCCAAACTAATATTATAAATGCGAAAGTAACTCTGTCTGACTGTCTTTTCTTCAAGCCGAAACTACTGAACAAATTAAAATTTGCATGAAATCTGGTCATTGAAAATATAGTTAGTGAATAAATAGTTTTTTTACCAAAAATCTGAAGGAAGTCACTATTCCACGCGAACGGAGTTTCGGGCAAAAGTTAGTTATCAATAAACGAGTTTACAGATAAATCTGTCCAGAGCTATTGTGTTTACAGAACTTGGATATAATTACGAGTAAATGCAGCAATTATTGATAATGGTGTAATTATTAACTGATAATTATGCGATGAGCAAGCGCAACCACGTGTATATTAAAACGTTTTAAAATCGTCCATCTCGCGCCATTTCAACCTCTCCTTGTCTTCGTGTGTCTTTGTAAGTTTGTATGTAGGGGGTAATCTTTGGAACCGCTGGTCGGATTGCCAAAATTCTTTCACTGATAAAAAGCTACAATATTCCTGAGTGTCATATATAAGCTATAACACATCACGCTACGATCAAATGGAGCCGAGCAGCGGGTGAAACCGCGCGAAATAAGCTAGGGTTATCTAAAAACCTTCCTTCATTAATGGACTATTTGACACATAAAGAATTGTTCAATTCGAACCAGTTGTTTAGGAGATTCAGTTAATCGCGACTGAAGAACCCTCGGTAATCTCACACGCCGGTTCTCGATGTGACCACCGTGGTACTACTATAGTTAAGTCAGCCAATTCGAGCTGAAGTATGGTTCTTTCACGTGAATAGTCTTTGTTGCTTGTTTTTCTTAGGGCTGTTTTTTCAATGTGTTATCTGAAGAGTAAAATTGTTGCTGTCACTGTCTTGCAGAAACATTCTGACGCGACAGCATCATAATTATTCCCCAGATAACTTTTATCTAACCATTGAAAAATCAGCCCTAAAAATCCTGTTTGTGGAGAGTTTATTTTAAAAGTTCTACACGCTTTTCGCATATTCCCAGCTCGATATTAATGCTATAAGCTACGGGTACCGCGTAGTCGGTTGACGGAAACGAGTTTATCTCGACGATCGTCCGTAGCGAGCTACAGCGGAAAGACGCGGGAAATGCAAGAAGATTAGAAAGCGATATTGACATAGATATTTTCCCTATATAATGACCTATATATATGTATATACTTTACTAGTTATTCCCGCACGGTTTCACTCGCTGCTCGGCTCCATTTGATTGTAGCGAGATGTTTTATAGCCTATAGCACTCGGGAACATTGCAGCAACAATAATTGAAAGAGTTTTGGGAATCTGACCAGTGGTTCTAAAGATTACCCCCTACATACAAACTTACAAATTTTACCTCTTTATAATATTTGTATAGATTGTAACGATATCTGCGTATAATCTTGTCGTATTGGTTCAACAGGTGTCGATTAAGAGACTTCAAATTCATTCCTGTCCGAAATAGGTGTTTAGGTTTGAACACCTCACCTTGGGCGAGAGAAGTCACTCAGACTTCTCTCGCCCAAGGTGAGGCGAGAGTCTGACACTCCCGTCAGACTCTTACTGACCAAAAACCACCCCGTTCCCTCTCTTGCTTTAGGCTGAGGACGTGGTACCTTGTTGTGCCTGCCCCATAACCCTGGCTGAACATCGGCCCTGTAGGGTCCCGTCTGTGGTGGTCTATTGGCTCTTTGAGGCGCCCGCGAAACGCTACGCGCCGTACGCTCGGGTCTGGTTATGGTCGGGCGGCATGCTACCATTGCTCGCCGTCCGCAGACCCACGCTAACGGTGGCCCGAGATCATCGCTCAAGTTTATAATCTTCTATTACAGGCGCTATGCGACCACGACATCCCCGCCTGGGTGAACCGGCTCGCGTACGTGAGCTCGTGCGTCCCCTTCCTGCAGCGGTGTCTGCCCAAGTGAGTATCAATATACATAGTTCATAAAATATATTATGAGATTTAAAAATACTTAAATAGAAACAATGAGCAAACGTCGCGTATCCGACTGATCGGTTGTCGCGGATCAAGGATTGGGGAAGGGGAAGGATTGGGCCTCCGGTAACCTCATTCACACGGCGAAACACAACGCTGTGGTTATTTCACGCCTGTTTTTTGTGCGGCCATCGAGCCGACCCATTCGTGCCGAAGCATGGCTCTCCCACACTTATAAAAAAATAGAATTATTCACTTAAATTTGTTTGTTATGATATGTGAGACAACCAACTCCGGTTCCTTCTAAATAAGTCTGATCCATACAGGAGTGAGTACTGTGAAAGTTTGATATACAAAATCAAGGGATTATGGTTTTTATTACAACATATAACAGTCACATTTTCCTGAGCAGTTTTCTGACAGTGCTCATTCCTGTTTGGGTAATACCTCCATGGTAACGGTACATTCCCCCCACTGTATAGAGAGTGGCTGACTCCGGCGGCGCTGCAGCAGTCGCTGGCGGCGCACTCGCGTTCCTCCTCGCCACAGACGCCACAATAGCATCGTGAGTATCCTAGGTTTTATATTAAAAAACTTCATCTATAAATAACGCGTTCAAAAATGTTAGGTATTACAGTATTTTCTTAGTCAGCGTGGGGATCTCTTGTGAGAATCTTAAATAAAATCATTTTTTTTGCTTGAGATTTTTTACATTATTTGTAATACAATATTTTTGAGATCCTCACATAGTCACATTACACCAAGTCAGGCGTGCAAATATTTCTTCTATCCTGTGCGGATTTCAATCCCTTGTGCAGATCTTAAATTCCATATGGTTTTTTTTATGGTGTAAGTCGGCAAACGAGCAGACGGATTACCTGATGGTAAGCAATCGGCGCCGCCCATGGACACCCGCAACGCCAAAGGAGTTACGAATGCGTTTCCGGCCTTTTGGGGATAGGGGTTGTGGATGTAAGGATCGGGAAGTGATTAAGTGATTGGGCCTCCGGTAATCTCACTCACACGGCGAAACACAACGCTGTGGGTTGTTTGACGCCGGTATTTTGAGAGGCCGTGGTATGACTCCGGTCGAGCCGACCCATTCGTGCCGAAGCTTGGCTCTCCCACACTTAAAATGGATGTTAAAGTATCTGCGGATCTTAACCTCTCATGCAGTTATTTTGCACACAATGGTAAAAATTAATCTCAGATCCGTATAAGATTTGATATGCTCATAACTGAAACATAACCTCAAAAAGTTTATTTTTTATGTACCAAGTCGGGAAACCAGCTCACGGATTACCTAATGGTAAGCAATCATGCAATCAACCCTGCCCATAGACACCCGCAACAACAAAAAGTTACGAGTGCATTGCCGGCCTTTTAGGGATAAGTAAAGGTTTCGGAAATTTAAAGGATTGGGAAGAAATTGGGACTCTCGTAACCTCACTCACACGGTAAAACACAGCGCTGTGGTTGTTTCACGCCGGCCTCTTCTGTGAGGCCGTGGTACCACTCAGTCGAGTGGACCCGAGTAAGTATTTCGTTAAGTATAAAATTAAATTAACATCGTAGTATCCTATGCCTTCTTAATGTATTGTTCATCCATTAATATTTATTTATTGTTCTTTTTCTTTTTCTCCAGAATATGTACTGCACAGTTGCAGATAAGCAGTCAGAAGTGTTGTGCGAACTAATACATACTAGAGTTAAAATTAGCTAGTACTTGGTTTGGCGCATTGTCGATGGTTACTAGAGAGGCGGAGTTGCACGCCGTTGAAATAAAAACTTTTAGTCGATTTTCTCTATGTCATGTTTAAAAAATCGACTAAAAAAACATTGTGGCTTAAAACGGTTTTGACGCGACTCCGGCCTTTGTTATATTAATCTAATTATAATTAAATCCTTGTGCTAATAAAAACTGAGTTGCCTCTTTCTTTTTCTAGTATGAGTGAAAGAGATGGCGCTATATTGCTCAGTTTTTTTTAACAGAGGCTAGGTACTTGCAGTAGTGTTGTCCCCCATTTTAAAGGTTCCTATTTTAATGTGGAACTTGTATTTAACGAATATTTAAAAATTAACTTGTAAAGGAATTGATCGTTTACGTGGTTACCTTAACTAATTGTAATATTATTTCTAATCTGGAAATTATATCTGAAGTCTATTTCGTTAATAATTAAGATTGCGTGATAAAAGACAAACTTTTATTCGATTACGGATCATTTATTTAACATTTAAAATTAAGCCTTAACAAGTTTTCATTCTACATTAAAAATATTTTTCATTCATAAAACTCTCATAATTTATTACTTTTAATTTTTTCAAAATTTTCATTTCTAGCCAACTCATTAAATTTTTATAAGAATATCGGGTTTATATATAAAATACGAAAACAAACCCATGTTGTCTATGCGAGTGTAAAATGGCGGATGTTTGAATGCGTGTGTTAACATAAATGAATATATACGTAGGAATTTGTAGTCCGTCCGTCGATCGTTGAAAGTGGTGATTTCACATTATATATGGGAGTTTTTTTATATAATTCGCTATTTACAAAGTCGGGCGAAGGGTGGGCATTTAAGATTGTGTTATAAAAAGTTAAAAAATCACACCAAAATGCCTTGAACGAAATAAAACAAAACATAAAAATAGTAAACAGATAAATGTTTTTGTAAACTTTCGAATTTAAACAAATAAAAAAAATATTATTTAAATGCAAATAAAAAAATAGCATAATGTCCAAAATGTAAAAAAGCGAAAACGTCTGTTAGGTACCCTTTGCTAGACTACGGTGGGGAGAATTTTATTATCTTTCTTGCTAGGAGCGTGTTCGCGGAATGGTCTTCACATGAACTTTCAAGTTAAAATTTAAAAATAGTTAAGAGGAAAAAGGAAAGGAATATTGTTTGAGAGAGACAGAGAGATGGTTTGAATGCAATCTTCAAATCTCTTCTAATGGCTATGTAGAATAAAAATAATTTCTGAAATATTCTTTGCCTTAGTAGGGAAAAAGAAAAAAGTGTTTGAGAACGACTCCTGTCCCTTTCAGTTATAATGCAACCTTAAAATTGCCTTTAACAGCTTGATTAAACTATCTATGAAATGTTTTTGGTTTTAGTATAGGAAAAGAAAGAATAAGTGTTTGAGAGAGACAGAAACAAGCAGTTTTAAAGCAACGTCAAAAGTTATATAAAAAAATTATATAGCTTTTGTCGTTGCTTTAAAATCAATAGCTAGATAAAAAAAATCTAATTTGTTTTTGGTTTTAGGAAATTGATAATATTATTATTATTGCGTTTGTGTACAAAGGTTTCGGTGTCCTAGTACCCATTTTGGACTTGATTTTTCTTAAATTCATCAAATCCCATGCGAACGCATTGGTGCATCTGTTGTCTCGAATTATCACAAATGAAAGGTTATGGTAACCAACGCCGCGTACACGCTGTTATGTTTTTAATCGTTTGGGAGTGTGTGTTATAATAATTTAGTAATTTAAAACCATCGACTAAATGTATTAGTATAAACGTTGAAAGTTAAAACTCAATATGTATCCATCTCTGGTCTTTAACGAACTAAATGCTTCTATGTGAGAGAGGTAGATCGAATTGTACATTGCCATTTCAGAAAATACAAATTAAGATTGAAATCACTCTAGAGATCATTGTTATCTTTGGTTTATATTTCAAAGGTAAAAGTTTGGAATTTTGAGGGATGGACAGGAAAAAACAGGCAATTTGTTCAAAAAAAAAAATGCTTGACTGACTTCACTACTTTACTCTCGGACTACTCTTTAGAGTGATATTTTACTACTTAGTCAAATTCAATACTTTAAAGAAATGTCAAAAAGGCTTCTCTGTTCTAAACTACCCAATTTGACATTTTACAAGTGCCTGTTTTAATTATTGAATTTGATTAGATTAAAACAAAATGGTTTGACTTGACTTTTGTACTATAACAACGATCTCTAAATTCGTCAAAAAAGTATCCAAAGAAACGCCTTCCTCGTATATACTTAATACATTTTGTTTAAGATGAAAAATTCATTGTAACATTTCAATTCACTCTTTATGTCAATTCTTTTAATAAGTTTACATTAATAAATAATATCCCCATTGTGTATGCACTGTAATTTATTTACCTAAATTAATTAGTTAATAAATTATTATCATGTTTCTTAGGTACATTTATAAATCTGTCAGAATATACTACTAGAATCAAAGTGCACTTAGAAATCGTGCGGTTACTGGGTTATTTAGACATTAATTATATGAGATATACTGCTAAGATTGAGCACAGGTCAGTCCAACGTTCATTAAGTTGCTTGAATTGACCCTGATATGCCACTTTTTAAATGTGAATGCTTTTAAAACATACTTAGGTATGTAGACTTATTAGTCACACTATGACCAGAAACAAAATATTTGTGTAACACCTATTTTTTAATTTCTGACACCGCAATATAATAAAAGACTTGGATCTATGTAACTTGACTTTAATATCACAGTACACAGTCGGGCAAGTCCACTGCGCCAGATTTACATTGTCAATGGTCAACAATATGTCGATCATGATATTTATAACAGACATTGACAGTTCTAGTGGTGTACCAATTAGTCGCACTAATTAGTGATGTTACAATAGTTCAGTGCGAGAATGGGCCTTGTGACACGTTGCCCAGCCACAGCGCTAGACGCGCAAAAAAATTAATGACTTATGAAATGTAAAATGTTGAGATGAATTTCATTTTTAGCGAGGTAATTTACATAATAATGCAATAAATATGTACACAGAATTAAAAAGAAAGTAAGATTAGGCTTTATAAGGGTTTTTATTTAGAATTTATAATCATTAGCTTCTTATTCATATTATCTTTAATATTATAGTCTTGTAGTAAATAGACACACTATGTTTGATTAAAAAAAAAGTAAATCGATTACATTAAATTTTTCGTCAGTGTAAGTAAGATTACTTGGATATAAGCCTTTTTGTCCATCTAGTTTCCAGATCACCTTTTTTGTACATAAATATAGCAAAAAATTCTAAATAATTGATTCCGAAACTGCCCAAATACGGTGAATAATTTCTACTTAACGCGGCGAAAGACTAGGTATTAATAAATGATAATATTTAAGCATAGCTACAAACCTGATATTTCACAAAAGTGCCATTTGATGTAATAATGGATGTTAAGTAATATAATTTAACGTCTAAATTTATAATTTTTCGTGTGGCCATTTAATAGTTTCGTTTTTAGAAATTAACAGTTATCGTAGAACGTTTAGAGAATTTTGGCTTGAATATGTTATGAGCAGAACATGATATACATATTGTAATATAGATAAAAATAAATATTCACAAACTATGGACTTGACAATGCGCCAACGGAAAACGTATTTCAAATAGCAACACTTAGGCACGAGTAAAAAGAAATGTCAAATTTTCCCGCTATTTTTCCGGCTGTGTCTACAAAACTATTCATTCCTACTTTTTGCTTATTCTTGTTATATGATCACTAAATGAGTTGAAAAGTTAGATCTAGATAAATTGAGATCGACATTGATCCGCTTTTTATAAAATCTTACATCTAGCTAGCTGTAGATACTGACTATATTTTAAATAGCACTTATAATAATCATGTTTTTTATATGTTTGGTGTATTTAATTGTTGCATATCCGTGCTATTAATTGTGTTGTCTAATTGAAATACGTGTGTAACGTTTAAGTATCGGACTACACAATATGTGCCACGTCTCACCTCAGTGTTTCAACTTATGACATTTTTACAAGTTACGATAAAACACGCTGACGTTTTTATCCAGAAAATTGACATTAATGATGTCACGTTGACATTTATTAAAGAAACATTTGAAATAGGTACTTATTTTGCTTATGCCCTACAAACATCGCTGATTACCGGTCATTAGTTATATTATTTTCGTTTTTTTACACCGATCACAGTGTCTTTTCCTGCTGGTTGGCAACATCTTCCGTTAACGAAGGAGCCATAAACAAAAATAAGAAGAAAAGATCATTTGCTGATACTGGCATTACAGTCAATAACTAAGCAGAAAATCAGTTGATAACAATTAATGTTAATCAATTCATCTTTCTCGACGAGTGTACTCGAGAAAGATGAAGAAATAGAAGAAAAGATGAAGAATGAAGAAATAAAGACGTTTTTTTTAATTATATAATATAAATGCTCAATGTCAATGACTTTATAAGTCAATTTGCGCTTAATGTTTTACCAAATAAACTTCAATTAACATCATTGCTTCACACACATTCATATAGAGTCAAGAATAGGTATGTGACATGTCAAATTTCTGAATGAAAACATTAGTTGAATGATAGTAGTTAGATATATATATATAATATAATTATGGTTTAGAAACGCTGGCAACACACATGGTCCGGACAAGTATTTAAATAAGTTTTATTTATTTACTCATACAAACCTTCATAACAATTTTCTCTTTTCTCATTAATAATAGCACGAATATTTGTAATAAGATGTGATAAAAATGAGTTTAAAACATGACTTTCATTGAGGCAATACTATCACTTGCTAAGCTGCCCGTTACCAATGTCACCCTGCCCTGTATAATAGTGATACTTAAGGTATATGTTTCAGCAACCTTATAAAGTGCCCTCTGCTCATTTAAAAACTATATATTTACAATAGCTTAACTCTATATGTCTGTAGTGTTATGATTAACAAGGAGTTCCTAAAACTCATGACAATTTATCTATGCTTACTTTTAAACGTCAAACCGTATGTGTTGCCATGTTACGGAACCAATAAATACTGTAGATTTTGGAAATAAAATAATATAATTAAAATTGTAATATGCAAATAAAAGAGTTGAACTGTTAATAACATTATAAACTGTTTAATATTAGATTAATATAATGTACAATACTAAAGTTTTGATTTTTTGAGTAAGGGCAACTGTACTTGCATATACTTAGACAGTTTTATTTACATAAATACCGCACCTTTTGTCCCGAATATTCTTATTGTAATCTCTCTTGAAGGTTTTTTAAGTTTATACTATACTTATGTAGCAGATTATTTTACATTCTTAACCTTTTTGCACATTATATAAACGAATGAATCCAACCAAAGTGCTCATTATGTATTATTATAAACATAAACTTTAATGTTACGAATTAATCGCATGAGCCTGATTTGAAGTTACAGATACATTTTTCATATTGGATATTTAACAAATTGTACCCGTCGTGTTTTAGCAGAAACGTGTTAACACTTTGTTTAAATAAAATCATAATTTTAACATAAATTTCATACTTAGTATATTTATAACCATTTTGAAATGGAGCAGCTTTTAAAATAACATTCCTAAATTGTTCTTTGTCCGTCTGTCG